GCTGTTCGATCCGCAGTTCATGTTTTGACCACCTGCAGTAAAGCTAAAAGTATCCTTGTTTGGTGTTAGCGGGAGCCAACGCAAGAAAGTAGTAGTTCAGAAACAAGAAGCAGCATGGCCAGCATCAGAAAGAAACAGAAGAGCTTGACTTGCTTTATTTATCATTCAAAAAGACAGTTGAGAAATTAGGTTGGATTTTATTCCTGTCGAGACAATAAATATCCATGAAGATCTGTTTGAAGTTAATGTGCTTTAAATAAATATAAAGAGGCAGGCAGCAGCTTGAGCAGGACAACAAGGTGGATCAGAGAGAGCAGGTCGTTCAACATCAGCAAGACCAAAAAGAGAGGATAAAACAGGAACAACTCAAATAAATAACAAATTATGATCTCCCAGAATACAAAGTATAAAAATGAGCTTTATCCAAAACTTGTTTGTCGTGTTCAACCTTCAGCTGGTGAATGCTGCTGAACAAGAAATGGGGGGGGGAAACCCAGCATGTATATCAGCAGGAAATAAAAATAGATGAATGGAAAACATGACTGCTGAGATGATCACTCTCTGAGCACTGATAGCGTGTTATAAACTGTTAAAGAGGATTTTACAGAATACAATTGAGAGGAAAGGCTTATTTGTTTTGCATGTGATGTTGTCTCAGTCGTAATAAATCAGGTTTGGGAACAGGAGTGATCAACCGTTTCCCTGGATTCTCATCTGCCGTTTATGGACACAGTAAAATCCGGAGTGTTAAATTAACAGATTTGACTGTGTATGTCGTACTGTTGTACTATTTCTGAGTATTTTGATGAACTGTACTGCCTTTAACAATCATTTGCAAAAAACAAAACGTTGAATGCAATATGCAATGTCCAAAGATAGGGCGAATTGTGGGTGAAATATGTGCAAAAAATGGGCAAAAATCTTCCAGCTACAGAACAGTAAAAGCTGTCTGGCAACACAAAGCTAGCATCCAATTAACTTAGATTGTATCAATGTTGGAGGAGACTAATAAAAGCCTTGAACCTTGGTAATAAACATACCATACAAGATCTTCCACACAAATGAGCACACCAAATGTTACAGAAAACGTAATTTACTGCTGAACAAGTTTTAATGATCCATTGTTGTAGTTTTACTTAATATACCTGTTTCTTTTTTACATATATCATACAGCATAAAACCCAATGTACCAGCAGTGGTCTAGCAATAAAGTCATTTATTTTTCTGGCAGGTGTTATGAGTTGTCTATAACGGAAACTACTGCTATGAGATATTTAAAACATGTTAAAGCAATTAAAGTCAAATAAGCAGTATCTGCATGAGTAGATAATAGTAGGAATAGTGGCTGGGATCACTTAAAGGATTATCTTTAACCAAATAATGTTTGTTTAAAATCTTTTCACACAGAATGATATTAAATAATACACAACAGATAGTGCTTACCTGTTGGGTTATAGATGTGTCTGACACCTGACTGTGCTGTGAGAGGCGGAGCTGACACAGAAAGAAAACCTCATATTGTGATGGGTATCTTTATTTTTATCAGCATGTGTTACACTTCCTGGAGTGATGTTTAAAAAAAAAAAACTTTTATCGGAAATTGCAACGTCCGTCTTTGATTGAAAGTAGGTCAGTAGGAAAGTAGGTCAGACGTTGTAAAAGAGGCGGTCACTTTGTGGCAGCTCAGTAAAAAAATGGATGTATAGTTTATTTTTCGTCTTGTCTTTGTTAAATGTGTGCTCAAATGTTAAGACCAAAAGTATTATTAAACCTTGGAAATGGAATTGCTAATTCAAGTTTTTTTCAAAAAGCTCTTAAATGTAAATAATATTATAATTGTTGATCCTGTTAAGTGACAATATAGAATTTTGAGCTTTTGAACAATTTAGAATTTAGTGAAAAATATTATAAGCAGTGGCGAGCCGTCAGGGCCCTCCGTCAAAAATAATATTTGAAAACATTAAAAAAAAAAATAAAAATTAAATATTATTTTTTATATTTACATTTTTCATTAGTTTTACCAAAAATAACTTGATTTATTTGTTGGGGTCAGAGGGCCTAGGTAAAAAAAGTCACGGCTCACCACTGATAAGGAAACAAAATCACAAATAAATAAACAGGCTACATACATCTTTAAACATAATGCAAACATTTAGAGATACTATTTGTTTAAATATTCAGAGTTAAAATGAATGATTATTTGTTATATTCTATCGTTTCAGTTACATTCCAGATTCATTAAATGTGAGTTTTTCTTTGGTCATATATCACCGTGAATATCTTTGGACTGCTGGACAAAAAGAGCAAGTGTGTGATTTCTTTTTTGTTTGATATTTTATCTAATAAAAATGTAGAAAAATAATTTGCATATTTATCTATAATGAAAAGTAAAAATTGCTGCTCTTATAGGATTTGCAAAAAAATAAAACCGTTTAGATCTAAATGTCAGTGTTAAGTGCCAAAGGTTTATCGGAATAAATACAAATAATCATATTATAATGTGTAAAATTTCATGTCTCAAGGAAAGTGACAAACAACCAAACGCATCATTGAAAACACTTAAAAAACACAAAACCGACGTTCACAAAACATCTCACACATATTTATTGTAAAAAATACATATAAAAACAATTTCTGAGACATACAAAAGATAGGAGCTTAGAAACAGTATATTGAACAGACAAAGACCAAGCCATATTCTTGAATTGCATTACATATTTACAATTTAATAAATAGATTTTCAATTTGTTTCGTTATACCAGAGTAAAGGCAGATTGTCCATATCTTCGGGGTGCAGTTGCCGCTGTGGTGACTCTTCGAAAACATTGGGGCAATAGTGCCCTGATTTAAAACCAAAAGATTCAGGGACATTTATACAAAAGACCGTCCTTTGTTGGAGCTATTTAAAACACACAACGTTTAGTTAGCATTGGTAAAGATTGAGGTATTGCACCACACAGCTTAGAGGGGGTAAGAAAGTAAATGAGTTTTATCTTTGTCAACAACCCAAACACCACCACCAAACTCCTGCAAGCAAACACACACACACAAACACGCATCCCTCCCAGCCAAAGTATACAACGTCATAACTTATCACCACAACAAATGTAACGTCTAATGATCAATGCATCTCGTCTTCAACACTCTCTCACACAATGCCCCCAAATACACAGACAGACTTTTGGCATTATTTTTCTTTCTATTCTCCAATACAAAAAGTTAGAATGGCTGCCCTCTAGTGGCCGGACAACTTGTAGCACCTCAGACTGCAGAACACTGGGGAAAAACAAGAGGCTGGGGTGAACAAACTAACCAGTAGGAAACCTGTGCACCGGGCTGACCTCCAAACGGATCCATACCACTTTTGAGCAGCGATTTAAAAACACGTGGTTCAGGCAGGCAAAGCAATCGATTCATGTTGTGTGTTCTCATCTCAATGTTAGACAGCATCTGTTGAGCAGCCTTTACTGCAGGGCTTCAGTTCAGCCCTCAAAAACACCACAAATACCGGCTTGCACAAAGAAACCCTTCACCAGGCAAAGGCAATCAACACACGCACACAATGCAAAGGAAAGCCATTTAACACAGAGCAATAATTATGTGATGATATAATATATAAAATCCCAAAAAAGATAGGGGGTCAGGATGGGGGGGGGGAGTTATGTAATAATTTACCATCAGCTGTCCAATAGCCTCCAGTGTTGGGAGAGGCAGATGCCACATGGTGTAAATATGCCTCAAAAATACATCCCTCAATCCGTCCGTCCTCTTTATCCCTGGCATGAGTTTAACCAGATGGCAAAACGTCGCTGATCCAAAAATCCGGACAGAGTGGTTGCGAATGAGGAGGAAGAAGAGGGGCTTGTGGGAGGAAAAAACACTAAACCGCATTCAAATTACAACGGGACCACATGAGACACGTTGCGTACCAATGCCACGTGTAACGGCTGTTGGCCAGCTTCATTGGAATACAAAATTATCATAAAAAATAAAAGAAAGGGTAACCCGCTTGACCAAGCATACTTTAGGCAATTTACAGTAAACACACACAGACAAAATCACACTCTCTTGAATACACACTCATGCTCAGAACATTTCCTGTCCCTGGTCATCATTTGAACACACAAACATACACACTCACACAACCTTATCCCAGGCTTTGTGTGATTTTTTTTTTAAATGAATCAGCCTTGAAGGACAAAAGTGCTCAAATTGGTGCCAACACCAGCGCTTCTACGACCCCATGGAATACCTACAACCTTTTCCTCAACACTCAGCAAGTAGCAGCACGTTAACCTCGGCGCTGACCAACTACCTACAAAAAAACTGACCTACTTAGAAAAACGATTTGCCCCGAAACTTCCCCTGAAATGTTTACAGGTAATAGAAAAGAGAATACACCTATTAACGGCAGCACCCATTCACCAAAATCAAGCCCTCGACCTCCAGCTGGTTCAAAATAAAGCAACGTTTACGTGGTAACGGTTCACGCTTTTGGTGTGAGGTTGGTTCATTTGGGGTTAGCCCGAGGAAAGAAAAAACATTCATCCAATGTATGACATGGAACAATACTCTTTTTGCAAAATACTTAATAAAAAGGACCAATCGCGTTTGGAGGGAGAGAAAAATACATGGGAGAAAATCCACGGTCAAATCTTACGTGTTCCTCCCCAAAGTTCACGATCACTCCGGGCAATTTCCATCGTACTGGGATAGGTTTGTTTTATATATATACTGTATATATTTATATATAAGCTCCGTTGATTCAAACCAAGTCTGTAAAATAGAAAGCGAAACTCCTCCACTTGTATTCCAACAAGGATCTCGAGCGGAGATTAGACGGAGCGACATCGAAATGGCCTCGACCAAGTTCAAATGGACCGATCCCAACGGAGAAGCTTCTTCTTGGGATCGTCTGTTCTCCAATCAAATTTGTGTTTGCGTGGGAGAAGAACAGTGGGTTTTTATTCGTCTGATTACACATTTTTATTGGGATTTTATTGGGATTCAGTGTAGTCTCCTGTAAGGGCGGGAAAAGAAAGGGTGAAGATTAGACAAAATAACGCCTGTAACAGCATGTACATTTCTGTATGAAAATCGTGTCGAATAGATCCTTAGCGGGATAGACATATTTGTTATATGATCAGATAGTTCATGATTTCAAACCAATTTAAGACCATTTTTTTTAGGGTCAGGGTTACAATTTGTGCCAGATTTCCTTGAAGCAAGCCATCAAAAAAAAAGGAGCGTTTGGTATAAAAAAATTAAAAAAAACTATTGAAAAGTTTGCTAATTGCATATCCTGGTTTTTAGGTAAATCTCACACGTACATACCTGAGTCGGTTGGTCACTGTGCAGAAAACATGTGACCCCGGAGTCAATCGAAGGGGTGTTCAGGGCAGCAGGGCTTCACCTTGGACCAGGAGTCAATGCAGCTACAGGGAAGAGGAGAAAAAAAAGAGTCATTATATTTTTTGATTAGCTGATGTAATTGTTGCTAAACCTCTCTGCCTCTGGCGCATCCCAAAAGGCTTCAGTAAGGTAATCCACTTACTGACAGTTTGGGAACTAGGGCTGTCCCGAATACCATTTTTCGGGCTCCGGATATTCGGTAGTAATCAGCAGCGAAAATTCCGCTTCAACACGTGTATTTCGGTTTATTCACGGCATTCATTTTGTTATTCTACAGCAGGGGTGGCCAACCAGTCAGAGGTTAAGAGCCACATGTTTTCTATGTTACTGCAAGGAGCCACATCAAACACACAGTCACTGATACCGCTTGTTTCAGTTTTTTGTTTTCTGGAGACAAGATTTCAACCACGTCACTGATTCATTTTTTGTGGCATTGGGATATATTTTTAAAATCCTCTGGAGCAGAGAGGAGAGCTGTGGATTATTGTTATTGATTAATGCATCAGTGTTTCTTAGGGTCAAAAACACTAAACCCACAAATTAAAATGAAAGCGTTTAGTTTATTTAATAAAAGAGCACATGTTCAATGTGAAAAGTGACAGTAGTTATAGATTATTTGCAATTTGATGCTATATATATTTTTTTTAAAGTATATATATAACACCTTGAATTTCAGGGGGGGCGCGGGGCTCCGTTGGCGGCTCGCAGCGCCCCTCCAAGACAATGGTAGGGGAAACACTGAATAGTGTTTAATCAACAATAGGTTTCCCCCCCTCAAAGGTGATTGGTTCACTGCATCGCAGGTATTATTGTGATTGGCTGTTGGGCCACATCAAAATTAGACGCGCTGTCATCCTCTCATACTGACACCTGACACCACACATACACACGTAGGGAGAGCCGGGACGAAAGTAACACGGGACGAAAGTAACGGAGCGATTTTATCCGAGCCCAAACAACTTTGACCGGCCAAATTACGTCAGAATGATCAGCATTCAATACTTAACAGACCTACTAAATATCAGGTTTAACTGTCAGTGTTGTCACGATACCAACATTTTGGTTTCGATACCAAGTCAAGAATTGCGATTCCGATTATTTTTCTTAAAAAACGGGAAACAGTCTTAAATGTAATTATTGTGCTTTATGTCACACCAGAATCATAACCATAACACAAACTTTTAAACAATGAGAACAATAAATGACAAGAATTCGTATTAAATAAAATTAATACATTTCTCACAGACGGGCCTCGTGGTGTCCGTGGCTTGCCCTCACTGTCAGAGATATAGCTAAAATACTTCCAAATTTAGCTTCTGGCATATTTTTTGTCAACAAGCCGAGGCGCAGCGGCAGTTGCACTCCCACTTGCAGCCATGCTTCTCGTTTTCTCACATGCTCTGGCAGCTAGCGCGTGCACGAGAGAGGGGAGGGACTTAGAGCGTGCTTGAGAGGGGAGGGACTGCAGGCACTGCTGCAGTGCAGGGAGTGGAAGCAGAGCGCTGAACACACACGGCTCTTATTAAAACAGCGCTTTCTTACCGGAGTACTTTCCCCCGTCATTCTTAAAGTACCGATACTAATGAAACGGAGGAATCGTAACGTTTTTAACGACAGGGTATCGCGGTATACCTTTCAAGTATCGGTACACCGTGCAACACTAGTCAGGAGTCAGTGTCTCTCCCCCAAACTCACACATATACAATTCGATATGAACTGAAGAGCCGCATGAAACTAGGCAAAGAGCCGCATGCGGCTCGAGAGCCGCGGGTTGGCCACCCCTGTTCTACAGTATTGTTGTTTTATAGTTATTTGTTAATGTAACGCAATTTGTTTTCTTTGAAATTGAAAAGTATATCGCATTGTGTTTGTTACTTTCGTTGCAGTTGTATATGCAGGGTTCTTACACCTTTTCCAAAGTCAAATTCAAGCACTTTTCAAGCATTTTCAAGGTGCATTTTCCAGCAGCTTACAGCTGTTGTAAATTACATATTTATATACACATACTCAAATGATTATTTCCCTACCTCACATTAAATCAGATGTTCTTTATGCTATAAACAACCACATGTGTGTTTCGTGATAGCCTTCTACACGAGGATGAAAAATTAAAGAAAAGAAAACTAAGTTTAATATTTCAAAAGGAGTGACCTGTACGTAGACTGGGCCTCCCATATAACCTGTCTGAGCCGATATACAACAATCAGCCAAATAACTTTTCAATACATTATTGATTACTATTTTTGAGGTACTTTTAGGTTGGCAGTGAACATAAGTCAGAGGTAAATGGTGTACTTTTCCTCCACTACATGTATCTAATACCTTTAGTTACTTCACAGATGTGGATGAATGATGTGAAATATAATCAAGTGTTAAATCAGACTTTAGTTCCACCTGGAGTAAATCCACAAGGTAATTTTGACTACTCAAGACACCTGACTTATACTTCTTCAAAGGAAGACTGCGTTCATTCTACAATTACATGGGATTAAAGCAAAATGTAGTTTTACTTGTATAATACTTCAATTTTATATAAAAGACAGTTTGTTTTCATCTGTTTTCAAATAAACAAAGTATTGGCTTTCAGAATATTAAACTTGTTTCGGCAAATTCAGATGATAAATACAACTTTGAAGCTTCGGCTATAATTACAAGCAGAGAACGGACTAATGTAACATCACAGCAAGCATAACAACAGCCGGTGTTTCTTATGAGTGTTTCCCCCGGTACACAAACGCAAAAAATACACACACACACACACACACACACACACACACACACACACACACACACACACTACACACACACACACACACACACACACACACACACACACACACACACACACACACACACCACACCACACACAACACACACACACACACACACACACCACACACACACACACACACACACACACGACACACACACACACACACACACACACACACACACACACACACACACACACACACACACACACACACACACACAACACAAACACACACACACACACCACACACACACACACACACACCACACACACACACACACACACACCACACACACACACACACACACACACGCGAGCTTCCCCCAGACCAGTAATACAAACGAACATGTGTCTTCGGGTCAATGTGACCGATTTCGATAGAGCAAGTTACATTTGGTTTAGGTACGAAACATACTACCAGTAGAAATACATTGCTTTCAAAATCGCTCTGTGTCGAATCAATAGATTATATTTCGTGACTATAACACGAAATGCCGTGAGTGCTTCATCCTCTGAACACTAGTGATGGGAATTCCGGCTCTTCTTGGTGAGCCGGATCATTTGGCTCGGCTCACCAAGAAGAGCCGGCTCTTTCGGCTCCCAAACGGCTCTTCAGTTTACTACATATTATACCTTTTAATTAAATCAAATGTAGCCCTGTTTTGACTAATGATTTATATGTGTACACATATATCACTTAAATTATTCAATACATCCTTTGTACTGAAGTATTCAAAAGTAAAAATTACATGTTTAATATAAATGATTTGCTGTGGCCAATTGTTTTCATTGCATTTACAGACCCTTGTAACTCTCTGATACCACCCAATGAATGCATTGACTTGCTTGTAGAACCACGCTACACAAAACAAATAGCAACACCTATAAAAACTATTTAAAAGAAAAGGGGCTACTGTATCGACCTATATAAACTATATAAATATAGTTTTTTTATATAAAAAAATATAGAAGACTATATAGACCAAAAAGATCCTGCATTTTAGCCATGCCTCATTTCGCTATATTTCCTCTTTCCAGCGCTGTTTTTGCAGGGGGCTGATTCTGTGAGCTGCAGCTGACCACGCCCCCCTGCAGGAGAGGGGAGCGTGCTTTGAGATCAGCTGCTGGGCTGTCAGAAGAGGGGGAGCAAAAGAGATCTCCGTCCTCCGTGTTTTATTCTTATAGAAGTAAGAAGAGAAGTAATGGGGCAGAAACCCTCCTTTTTACGCAGCGGCCCAGACATAGACATCAAACGGCGACACATATTCAGTTGCCAGTTACTTTGGCATTAGGGCAGGGATATCTAGATACTTTCCAAGGTTTGACATAATGAATTGTGCTACTTTTAAAGCAAGCAACGATGTTTTCAAATCTGTAATCAAAAAGCTCCTCAAAAACGCTATCGAAGCAGTTCCTGCCGTTGCTACGTTAGTTCAAACAGTAACAACGGACTCTTTTTCTTAGCGGATGCATGTCAATTTAAATCAATACATAAAACTATTTTTTAAATCAATAAAATCATTTTCTAAATCCATAAAAGCATTTCAATTAATATTGGGAGTCATGTCGTTACTTTGTTGAGAATGTGGCCATGTAATAAGCGGGATAATGTGCACATTGCACAATGTGCCTTCAAGCCGATCTAGATCCCTCCGCAAAAAAAACCGGCTCGTTTATCCCCTGCAATTATTATTATCCCTCAATCGAGTTCGCTATTCAGCTAGCAAACGTTAGCTTAAACAAACGTAACATGCAACGTTAGCCTAATCTAAAATGCTCTACTACGGCGTACCTTTCATGTGGCTCGTCAGCACAGACTCTTGCATCGTTATGTTTGCAAACTTTGCAGGAGGCTACTCGTGGGCTTGACCCTCGTCTTAGCCATGGCTTGTATTTGTCTTCTGCTAGCCAACGCTCGTTGTAACTGCAACCTCCTGGCACACTGTCATCTATCACTCTCATCAGAATGCCCAGGTCACACGTAACACAAACACTTGCAGGTCTCGGGCATAGCGCGGGAAGGTGCAGCGGAGCTGTTTTATGTAGAAGCGAAGCAATTATTTTCTTTTAATCTAAAAAGCGAACTATTCAGTCAGACAGCAATTTATTGTAAAAGTAAAGCATTTACATTTTCAAGCACTTTATCTCAATTTCAAGCACCATTCCCAAAATTCAAGCACTTTCCCAACCTTGAAAACACCACGTCAAATTTCAAGCATTTTCAAGGATTTCAAGCACCCGTATGAACCCTGTATATGTCTTAAGTGTAATTTGGCTTGGCTTTCTATTTGTGGACATGCTTTTATTTTGAAGGAGAGTTAGTGCAGTTGACAGGAAGTTGTTGTTGCTTTGGAAACAACGTGACGGAGTTTAACGGAGAAAAGTAATATCTACATATAAAGACGGAGAAAGTAAACGATAACGTTTATGGTTAAGTGTTAGCACCCCCCGAAGAGGCACAAGCTCTTACGTTGATATTGGAGATTTCAATAAATTTGAAAACAAACTAAATGAATATCCGAATAACGAAATAAATTAAAACCCGAATAGTACTCCAACGAACGAATATTCGGGTACAGCCCTAGTGGGAACCAGACTAAAAGTAATCAGAGCAGAGGGCTGTGAATATGTTCGATGGCTCTCTGACTCGTTAAATGCATCAGGACCAAAGAACAGTAGTATTCCCAATCACAAATATAAAGATTAAACAACTATTCTATATTTGAGTATTTTATAAAAAAAAATAAGGACGACTAAATAATAAGCAACTTTTTGGATATTACATTGACATACATTTATTTAATTAAACTTTCAAATAAAATGCAAGACTGCACAAGTTGCAGCTCAGCAATGTATTTATCTTGCGTCACATTTAAAGAAGTATGTTCGGGTTTTAGACTGAGTCAAATTATCTTGAGCTTTAGGAAATTGTGACGCCCTTTATGCACTTTTTCCAGATTCTTTTAAGACCAGATGATTCACCGACTATGTGAGAGAAAAGTCACAGATGTTCTCCTTGCAGCCCTATACTAATATATGGGTTGTTAAAAATAATGTTCCTTCTGTACACTTTGTGAACATGAACTGTATGCTCATTTAGAACACTGTCATCTTTTAGTTTTCAAAAGTTCCAGGCTCTTTCCAAATCCCTACTCTCTACTGGGTGGACCAGCGCGTCACAGCCACACCTAGCGGCACACAGCTAAAAGCTCAAAGGCTTTATCTGAGAAGAACGTCTTTTTAAAAAGGTGCCCTATTACGCTCATTTCAGGTTCATATTTATATTTGTCTCTACTGGGACATGTCTCCATGCTTTAATGTTCAAAAAGCCCTTTATTTTTCTCATACTGCCTGTGCAGCAGCACCTCTTTTCACCCTCTGTCTGAAACCAGAGCCCAGTCTGCTCTGATTGGTTAGCTGGCCGGCTCTGTTGTGATTAGTCAACCTCTGTGTTTATTGTGTTTATTGTATTTTGTTACTCTGGCACAACAATTTCCTTCGGGATGAATAAAGTCTTATCTTATCTTAGATATGTCCCACCCCTTAGACTATCATGTTCAATGTGTTGGAGCGCTAGCTAATAGAAGCAAAAGTGTTACATGGTGATGTCACTATGGAGCGGAAGTAAACGCAGGAGTCAAATGGAGGCGTTTCAGGCAGGGGGGGGGGCTTTCAAGACCGTTAACATGCACAAAAACCTAAACACACTACAGGAAAAGGAAAACCAGAATACGGCCTCTTTAAAGTATACTGTCCCTCTGCTGGTTATCCGTCAGTTAAACACTATGTGCTTTTAATGTTGTCAATGTCGTTATCAGAATGTTCATTTCAAATAAAAAAAAGCATTTCAAACGGTTGAACCCACAAAGATAGAAAAAGAAAAAGAGCAGACAGGATCTTCACTCTGATGAATGAACTAATCTTGGAAAATTACAAGTCTCAGCAAGTCCCGTCTCACACCGAGCTAAATTAAGGGAAACCGTTTCCCCTTTCAGAGTTGGGAAAAACCGTATCTGGAACACAACCGTGTGCTTTCAAATGATTAGGATATGGGCTGCAACATGCACACACTGGTGGGTCTTTAGCAACCTCATGGTTATTTCCTGATAGGAGTTTCAAAGGGCTGACAAAGTGCTAATTAGGTCCAATTAAAATGTAATGAGGATGCCGTTATTGAAAGCACATTGGCTAATGTATTTTACTTGTAAAATAAGAAGAAAGAAACACACTGCTGATCTTTTCCTGAGACAAAGTAAAAAAGATTTTGTGTAGTACTCATCCATTTTATCCCATGTTAAAATATTACGTTTTTTTATGACAATAACTCAGAAGTGAAACCATGAGATCCTGGAAAAGGACAATAGACCTCGCTCAGAAATGTGAAGTGATACATGCACTAGTACAGACAAAACGTTTGCTTCCTTATTTAAGAGAATCATTACCTTCAGTTACCACATTTTTCCAGATCTGGAAATAACCATAGATAGGCACAACGTTGTTTTTAATCTCACTCGCGGAATTTGCATTTTTCAACCCGTCTCTCTGCATTTTATTATAATGCAAATGTATCAACTGAACTTTGTTACCTCTTATGGTAGACGCAGAGGCAGGCCAGCCTGGCGATGGTCTCTCCCTGCATCAGATCCTCCAAACAGATGGAGCACTCTCCGCTGTCTTTACTGAGCACATCCGCTGTACACACACACACACAGCAACTGTAAGTGTTTCCAGAGCTTTAAAAATCACAGGCTTTGTGCCATTTTGGGGATATATGATACTTACTATTGTATGGTAGGGGAGGAGACGTGAGGCAGCTCAGCAGGTGATCCTCGATCCGACCCCCAGGGAAAGGTTTGGAGCAGAAAGGACAGCGGATATCTGTGCAGAGCGGAGACACGGCACAGCTGAGATCAACACGCTGTGTCACAGCAGCGAGACCTAAATGATGGAGGATGTGCACATCATGTTGCACACTGAAGCTATGTTTGGACATCTAGATTACACTCTGGGCAAACCAAGGAACCACAAGCAGTCATCCTTAGAGATCCGGAGACAGTGTGGATGATGTGACTTTGAGTATAACTGGAAACTTTATTTGACTGCATGCACCGAACTAAACAGTGACTCAGGCTGAGTGAACGGGACAGACAGTGTGCCTCGCTGCTCTGAATTCCCCTCCTCCATCTATGAGCTGCTGCCAGCATGTGAAGTTGTGACCCATTTCCCTACTCTTGCTAGAGGGCTGTCCTGGGAAACCCACCATACTTTTGTGTTTTGGCACCGCAACAGCCCCATCTCTGTGTCATCGACTTCCAAATGCAGGCCAGAGCTGGCAAACGTTTGGCAATATGATATATACAGGGGTTATGATTCAGCAGTACTGCAAGAACACCGATATGTTGTCATTGCTAAAAATATATTTTAGGAAAACTGCGTATTATTAAACAACATGTATTATATGGTTTAAAAATATACTTTTGGTATGCAATCACAACAGTGCATTTATCACAGTCCCTGTAACATCAGTGCTTTGAGAGGCCACATCTTAACAAATTAAATAATGGATGAACTATTTATTAGAAATCAACACTTTGTTTTAGAGAATCAATACAGCATCACAAAACATTATTTAATGTTGCAATAATTAATATTTGGTTAAACCCTAAACCCCTACGCAAACAAAGGGTGCTTTTTCACTTCCCCTACACAGCTTCCTATTTTGAATGCGCTTAAACCACACGTTGGTCAGTTACTCAATGTTTTTAACTTGCAGGATTTGAAAGAGCATGTTTTCACCAGTTCCAGTTTTACACCACAGCTCCGTTTCTTACAATGAGGTCTCTGAGGATTGTAGTCAGTAAGCACAGGAAAAGAGATCATCTGTTCAGGAATGTCAATTCCCCAAATAATCCATTTTAATTTCAGACGGGGGCGAGTGAAAGCTGCACTGGGAACAATTTGATTCATAACTCATTGTGTAAATGTCTCTGAGTTGGTGTAATATTGTTTTAGAGATATTTTCTTAGAAGGCATTTCTGACTTTATATTGCTGTTGTGGCTGCATAAAGTTAACAATGAATACTCCCACCTCCTCCTCAGCCATCATATCCATATTACTATCATTTTCTCATCTTCACCCACTCATGTCTTCAGTGAAATAGCAGCTGATTTAAGGAAGCAGTTATACCCCGCATTTTACATGTTGAGGTATTGCGTAATTTAACGCATTTTAAGTTCCATGTAATCCACGTATGACAGCTGTCTTAAAATGTAAAAACATGGTGCATCACTTCTGATGGAGACCAGCCAAGTATGAAGGCAGGTGTTATTTATGCGACACAAATAATAACAGGACATGAATAGAAAATACTAGTGACCTGACATAATGTGTGGAGGATTATAACCCTTTACTGTCATATTGTGTGCTGTGTGTCTAGGAAGGAAATCCACTGGCCCGTTTTTGTGGAAGATAATAAAACAATCAATACAACAAAAATGTCACATGTTGATAATATCGTGTTTCAAATGAAAATGTTGAATATAAACAAATATCATCCTCTGACTTGATTTTTCATTAGAATCTGGGTTTTGGCCATTAGGTGTACACATTCAAATACTTGTTGTGGTGTGAATGTTGCCACCAATGTCCACACTACCTATTTTTTAAATCTGCACAGCTCTCCACTTTGAATATAGTATATTATTTGACTGTACTCAGTTTCTCACATAATTATATTGTGTTCAAATATTGTCTTTAATTTGTCACAATAGTCTACAAATAGTATTTTTTTTAAAATAGCTTTCATAATATGACTTTAATTTATTTTTTGCTACGTATTTTTCTTTCTGTGTCTTTGTAAGCACCATTTAGACCAAAGCAAATTCCTCGTTTGTGTAAACCTAATTGGTAGTAAAACCTATTCTGATTCTGATACATAACACAATGAGAGAAATTAAGTTGTACTAAGAAAAGGAACCACACAGACTATAACACCTCTTGTTAAATACCAACTATTTGAAATATCAGATTGCACATAGCACATAGCAGCCAGGTTTTTAAGGGCGTTATATATATTGTACATATTGCCAATGTGCAATATATATAATGCCGTTAAAAACTGTGCAATATACCTGGCTGTCAAATCCCCAGAACTGTTACAGGGTGTGTATTTTTGTAAAATGTGTAACTTTTCTATTCTAATTTATTTTTGTATCTTTAGTACTTTTTTATGCCTGCTTTAGGTAACATTAAGTTGTCTTTTGTGCTCTTTTTCTGCTGTAACAATGTACATGTCCCCTCTGTGGGACTAATAAAGGTATTCTGATACATAAACACAATGAGAGAAATTAAGTTGTACTAAGAAAAGGAACAAAAAGTAAGAGTGAATGAACTCACTGCCATGGCGGTTGTTCACCCGGTACAGGCCGATCCACGCCTCGGACACCGGCCGCTGGTGGGAGCCTCGGACCCGGGCGGACCTCGCTCCCACACTGCGGGCGGAAGAGTGCCTATTCCCGGGCAGCCGCTCGGAAAAAGTGCGGTGGGGCGTGCGGCCTGTCTCCTCTCCTGACGGATGCTCAGCCACCACGGCGGGCTCCGGGCTTATATCCCCGTCTTCCTCGGGTTTCCCCTCGCTGTGGTGGTCCTCCGCCGGGCTCACACTGGAGGACGGGGTGCTGCTGTGGAGGAGGTCTGCAGGGCTTCCGTCCGCGCTGGCACCCCCATGCTGGTCCGAGTCGCTGCCCTCCTCAGACCGGCTCCGGTTGGCCTCCGTTTCCTCGAAGCTCCCAGAGAAGTCGACCATGAGACTGGTGGGCCTGGTGCAGCGGGGTCGTCGGTAGGAATCCCGCTTCGTGCCATCTTTCCCAAACGCAGGGGAAACCGGGTCTTCCTGGAGGCGACTTGCCTCTCGTCCCATCTCTCCTCAGCGAGCTAATTCAGCTGCGGCTAGCCGAGCTGCTTCCTCAAAGCGAACCACCACCGAACAAGATGGGGGGGGCGAGTTAACCTCGAAACGACCCTTAAACTGACAGGTATTCGTCTTGGGATTTTAAATAATAATAACAACTGCCTGGCAACGGAATCAACAAAGATGATAGATGTAGTTCTGTGTTCCTTCTCTCGCCTGAGTTTGTCCTCCCCACATTTTCCTTTCTTTTTTGACGTGCCCCGTTCTCTCGCTGCTGCAGCGGAAATAGAGTTCTCGCTTCCTCCTTTGCGCACTACACACACAGTTACGGTAGCGTCATCACGTCACCCAAATATTATCTTATCTAACAATAAAACACGTTTTAAATGTTTATGTTTTCAATGTGGTTTAGATTTATAGTAAGTGTGTTTTTTCCCAGAGCAATCCCGTCTTTATATTCAATAATTTGAGGGTAGGCAGTGGGCACCCATACATGCGCTATTACGGTAAAAATAAAAAGGTCACAATAATTTCGTCCAATCAGCGCTCTCAATTGTATTATATATTTGGCATAGGCTATGTGTTCCTTTCCTTTGTACAAATTAATTATTCTCATTGTTTTTATGTACGCACCATTTAAACCAAAGCAAATTATTAGTTGTTTGTTCTTCGCACTTTCGCTTCTTCCTGTGCGCATTATACAAGACATTACGGTAGTGTCATCATGTCACTTAAGCATTATCTTACCTAATAATTAAAAATGTTTAGTTATTAATATTCTGATATTTGATTTGATTTATAGTAAATGGTATTTTTTCCAGAGCAATCCCGTCTTCATGCGTCTTTTTATTCCATTATTTGAGGGTAGGCATCGATACAGGCGTTATTACGGTAAAGAAATTCGACCAATCAGCGCTCTCAATGTTCTACGTCTCAGAGGCAGCTGCTCGGATGTGATCATTTCCAGTAAACCAGTCATTTAAGCTTTCTATGCTTCAGAAATTCACTGTCAGCTCGCAGTAATATTAAACGGTGACAAGAAGATACGTGTGTCTGGGGAGTTGACATTCAGTTTTTCCCGGTGAGTTTCTGCTTTAAGTCTGGGTGTGTTTACGCTTACTACCACGCCTATTAAAAACTATTCCTGTATACAAAACAGTAGGCCTGTAGGAACAATGTTGACTAAAAATGTTATGTATTGCACTTAAAAGTATTGGCTGTCTGGATATTGCAGTGGCGATATGGTTTTTCTTTTGATAGTTACATGCCTGGTTTCTACGCAGTTTGTGTCTTTATACTTTTTATGAATATATTTACAACAGTACTTTACTAACTTAGCTCTTGAACAACCTGAAACTTCTTGGTATTTTTGTTTTATTTATACATGCATTATGGTGGCCATGGAGTCTTATGAAACTCTTGGGCTTTCTGCTGATTGTTTCCAGACTTTGTTCCTTTGTTTTATCAATGCATTCAGTGGCACAACACACCCTAAACTGCAGTAGTACAAACCTTGTTCAAACAGTGGAAGGAATGCTGCTGAGTTGCTTCTTTCAGGACTTAATGCCATGTAGGATTGGGAGGGTTTGTGTTTGTAACAGCCTTTGACCCTCTGATTGATTTATTTGCAGGTATGGAGGTGCTAACTTTGCATCAGACAAATGTCGCCCAAGGAGAGCAGCAGCAGGCCACATGTGGGCGGAGTTTGTCCTCCAACTACGCTCCTCCAAATCTGAAGAATAAGCTACTGGCCTCCACACTGATGCCCAAACCTTCCTCTCTCCAGCCCTCCTTCCTGTGTTCCACTTCCTCCTCCCTTCTCTCCCCCTCTTCCTTCTCGCCTTCCTTCACCTCTCCTCTCCTCAGCACCGAGAACCAGCTCCTTACTAGCCATTCCTTCGGCCTCTCTTTCCCCCTCACCTCCTCTACATCTCTCCGTAATGACTCTCTGCTCTCAAAATCCCTGGCAAGCAGCGCTCTGCCTAAATGCTTTGCTTCTTCATTCCTCCCTCCTCCTCTGGGTGGAGAACAGAGCAGGGACGATGGAGCTGATGAAGCCACGGAGGAAACATCGGAAGTGACGCAGTCCTCTTCGGAAGACTCAAGTTTGGTACATGAGATATTCTTCATTTATTTTACTTCTGTGTTTCATTAGTCTAAGCATAAAATGAAAGTACCTTGTATGCTCTTTGACAACATTGTTGATGCATCCCATTGAGCGGTATTCTTGTTTTGACATTTGTCTCCACATCTGCAGTATTCTGAGGAAGACAATGTTTTGTCTGAAGAACAAGAGGTAGAGGATGAGGGGACAGCCATGGAAATACCTGTTCTTGGAATAGAGTTGGACAGCCAGGAACTTGAACAAACTATGGTCATCAAACAGGAGGAATTTGCTGAGATTGATAGAGCAAAGGAAATTATTGAAGAGGAGCTGAACGATAACAAGGTAGGAGGAAATCATAGAAATGTTGCACATAGCATATACCTGCGTGCTTATTTTATATGTTTATCTATGTGACTTTAACTCTGCAGAGAGATATTTCATTGTCTTTCTCTCTGTTCCTCAGTATCTCCTGCTGAACCTGGTGTGTTGCTCGCTGGTGAATAAGAGCGAGGCTCCGGGTCAGAAGGACTGGGACTCAGAGGAGAGCGTCTGGACCAAGATCAAAAACCTGGCCAAGGACATTTCTGACTCTGACCCCCAGTTTCTTCTCAAGGTGTGAATGCATGTCTGTCTGTGTGGGTGTGTGCAGGGTTATGTACTGTATCCCAAGGCATCTTTATTTATTTATTTGGTTATCATGGTAACAAATCAAGGAAATCAACCCAGAATAACACGCAAGAAATGTTTGGAAATGCAACACTTTATAGAAATAGAAGAAGATTTTGTTATGATTTTTATGAGTGATCAATATGACAGTACGAACAAAATATCACGGGCTACTCTGAAATATGCATGTACTTTTTGATTTAAAGTTATTTCATATTTAAACCGTTGAGTTACTGGTTCAGTATCTTGTTCTTTCAAGTGATTTCCCAAAACCTGTCAAAAAAGTTAGATAAACGTTTGAGACAATATGCCATCAACAATTTCAAATCCTGCTGGAAAACACAAACACAAGTTTTAAACACAGTTCTTTGGTTGGTGAGGCTTGTTTACTGTCTGCCAGCCTTATATTTTCAATCAGTATCTCCTTGTAAAACGTCCTCGATGTGTTCAAAGTACACCACAGCACAGCCGCTTGAATGGAACATCCCATAATGTATTTTATGGTTAATCAACATCATTTCCAATATGTGTTATTTTTAGGTTAGTGCAACTCCAGAAAACATTAACCTCTATTACCACAGAGCCTTTAACATAGTTATTTATAGTTCAGTTTTTAACTCTTGCTTTTGATCCTGAGTTAATTAAATGTACGTTAATGTTCTCGTTGTTCTTATTTTTTAGTTTATATATTTTTTTACATGTTATACTATTTTTTAATAGCATTAAAAATAGTAGAATATTTGTTCCTTTTCTTTGTACAACTTTATTTCTCTCATTGTGTTTATGTACGCACCATTTACAACAAAGCAAATTATTTGTAAACCTACTTGGCAAACCATCTGATTCTGATCAGATTAAAAAAAAATCTATTTAACATTTTAATTTGTAACACGATATTATCACTATGTGCCATATTTGTTGTTGATTGTTGTATCATCTTCCATAAAACAGGCCAGTGAAATTAATTCCAAGACAGACAGCACACAATATGACGGGGGCTATAATTCTTCCCAATAGTTAAGTACAATGTGGTGTTCTTGCTTTTATCATTCAGGTGGCAGTCTATACCCGTCAGGAGTTGAACATCCGCATTACAGCGAACTTCTTATTGGCTCTGGCCGCCAATCAGCCCTCTACCAAGCCTCATGTCCGCAGATACTTCTGTGCTGCCGTACAGCTGCCCTCTGATTGGCTGGAAGTAGTCAGGATCTACAGTACAGTAAGTCTTAGTGACTGTTTACTGTTTGGTGGGATCTGGATGTGTCAGTTCTGTGAAATCTCACCACCATGTGTGTCCGTCTCCAGTGCTTCAGCCGCTCCCTGCCGATGTGCCTGAAGAAGGCGATGGCTGACAAGTTCAAGCAGTTCAACGAGTATCAGCTGGCCAAATACAACACACGCAAACACCGCTGTAAACACAACCGCAAGAAGAAAAACGTTAAGGTACAGAAGTATTCATTCTGGTCTGTTTTCATTCAGTTCAATATGAAAACTAAGGTTTAACCAAACTAAACTCAACTTATGGACAGAAATTGGTTCGTCAGTATAATTGTTTCTCTGCTTTCTCTGTGGTAAAAAACAAAGCAGGACACCCACACACTTTTTACCACCTCACACCTTATGCATATTTATTGTTGTTATATAAAACAGTTTTATTTTAACTTCTCTATGTTTATATAAGTTATTTAAATGTATTTTGTTCTAAAAGGGAGCAGTTGATACATAATCCAATTTCCCCCAAGGAATAAATAAAATATTACTCGTTCAGAATCTCCTTCTAAAAACATATTGAAACTTCATGTGGTTTTCTATTATAGTGCAATGGACTAATTTCTCTTGATTAACACTCAGTGCCTTAAATATCCTCTTCATCACTCCATGGTTTGTTCTACGTATCTTTGATTTCCAGAAACCGACTGCTCAGCAGATGAAAAAGTGGGCGAACTTGCTCAGAGCAGATACTGCCCAGCTGGAGAAGATTGTAAGTCAATGTTCAGTACTTTTCTATTGTGCCACTAGTGTGTTGGATGTTTTACACTTGTGAGTTACTTAAGTGTCTTCTTCGAGGAATACTTCACCCACAAACTGACCATTTGTAAACCAATTACACATATTCCTTGAAGGAAAACAAGATTACAAAACAAGAGTATAAAATCAGACTACAAAAATTGAGAAAAGTCGTGATGAATTGAACTAAAGGAAGGTTGCGTTTAACAACAGCAAAATGTATATTAAAAAAACACATTTGTCGTATTATCATTACTTCTTAAACACATGCATTTTCTCTTAAACCTTACTATTTTAAACCATTTTGCATAACGCACTTGAACAGACACGCTACTCATCTGTGGGAATACATATTCAAAAGTACGGTTTTTTCTAAAATGGAGGAATAGTGAGCTTATCTTTCAGTAAATGAGACTTGGATCACACAGTACACGTTGCGTTAAGTTTGTAAACTGATGTTTTTATATAGTTTTCTTTTGTTTAACGTGCCCCCCATTTACTTAAATTGATCAAGACTT